TATATATATATATATATATATATATATATATATATATATATATATATATATATATTTATATATATATATTATACTTGACTTATTATAACTTCGGATGCTAAAAGGTGCAGATTGAAGTCGAGCTCTTGACACTCGAATAACCAAAATCTATAATAACATTAACTTATCTTATTATTTTAGAATATGATGTTTTGTTTGTTGGTCTTTCTTAGTGTGTAGGTTTGGGATTCTATCTGTAAAGAGATTTGTGGTGATGGTGGCATCCTATCTTTGTTATATTTTCTTTCATGCACAGATAGTATCTTCCTTATACTTTTTAATTTTTGAATATATTAATTAATTTAATTGATAAAGATTCTAATAATATATTATAAAATCCTAGACTCAAATCACTTACCTAAAAAGGAAAATATAAAAGTAGCATTCCTTATTAGATGTCTAAGTTGAATCCAAAAGAAATAGGGTTGATGTGATGTTTTGTTTATTTAGGGATGCATTGGATGTACACGTGCGACCAAACTATTGCATCACGTTGAGTTCAATGTAGCTATTTACTCCGCTACTGTAGTGTTTTGGATCGAGAGATGCTAAAACGTTGTAGTAATATTGTAGAACGGGCATGTCACGATGATTAATTTTGACTTTGATCGCAGCTCGACATAGTTTTAGCCTTCTTCTTCTCCTTTAATCCACCTACATTTAGTGGCTTTTTATGGCAAATCATCAAGCTTCCTTTTGACCACAGCTTTTGTTGGGTTTGGTGAGACTTTGACGTTGATGTTTCACCCACAAATCTTCCTTTGCTATGAAAACTAACAATCATCATAATTTTCATTAGTAACCGGGAAAATATTCTTCCCCAATCGCAGCTCCTAACGTGGCAACATCGTTATCAGCTTAAAATAATAGCAAGGTTTGCCGTATCGTATCGTACCGACGTTTCGACTCGGGTTCGGTACGGTACGATACCGGTATACCGGGCGATACATCAAAACGTACCGAGCGGTACACCTTGATGTACCGAACAATTTTATATTTTTATATTATAGCAGTGCTACAGTTTAGTATCGTAGCACCGTTACAATGCTACAGTAAAATACTGCAGCACTGTAACGATACCGGGCGGTTCGCATACCAGTAACCTGTCGGACCGGTACGTACCGTCCGATATGGGCGGTACGCTTCGATACGACAGACCTTGAATAATAGTATGTAAAATATTCTGTTTGTATCTCATATATATATATATATATATATATATATATATATATATATATATATA